CAAGCTAAACAATTATTTAAAATAATGGTTTGTAGTTGAAATATAATAATAATAATAATAATAATAATAATAATAATATAAAAACAATAATATTTAAAATTATAACATTAATTAAGATTTAGGTGTGTGTAGTTTTAAGTAAAGTAATGTGATTTAATCAAATAATAGTAATTATTATTTAATCCTTGAAAAAATAAATATTATCTTTTATATTTTTTCTTTATTTGATATTATTGGATTTGATCTGGTCTGATCTGATCTGATTGGATCTGGTCTGATCTGATTGGATCTGATCTGATCTGATTGGATCTGATTTGATCTGATTGAGTCTGATCTGATCTCATTGGATCTGATCTGATCTGATTAGGTCTGATCTGATCTGATCTGATCTGATTTTAATAAGAATAGGTAATAAGTAGAAAAAATAAGTCCTACAGAACGGACCCTAAATCATGTACCGTGTACACACCCCAGATATTAATAAAAATCCCCCGTTGGCAAGGTACCGCCTAAAAAGGCCCGTGGTTTTCTCTTGATTGGGTTTCCGCGTCAAAATCTTAGTGTTTATATTTTGGTGTATTTTTTAGACTAGTTTATCGTTTTTGCCTGGCTAAAAATGATATACCGGTCGATAATTTACACCATCAATTACTATTATTGTTGTTGTTGTCATCACGTTATGTCAATGAATGCCTTTAAGATAAAAAAAATATTGTTATTTTTTATATACAAAAAAAAACTACTTTTGCACCATAGGATACCTCAAATGAAATAGAGCACCAAATTCAAATTGTTATTACAACACGCATTTTGCACAATTTCATTCGTATTCACCGAGGCAACAAACAATGGAAGATAGGTCTAAGGTGATGTTTGATGAACAAACTAAAGAAGCAATGAATGAGCTTAGAGATGAAATAGAAGTTAATATTCTACAATGCAGTTAAGCTTAATTGAAGATACTAAACACGGAATATAGTTTTTACAATACTAAAAAAGATTCTATGTAACTATTTTATCCATAATTTTTTTTAAATAGTTTAAAATATCAATATTTTCCTATTTTATCGTGTAGATTAATATACAAAAAATGGTATTTTTCATATTAAAAAGTTGAAGAAAAAATAATAATGAGTGAATCATAAAATTAGTTAGATGAAAAAATGAAATAATTTATAAACTATAGTTATGAACATAATAATTGTAATAATAATAATAATAATTATAATAATAATATATCGTTTTTAGAATGATTTGTCGGAAAGTAGAAAAAGTTTGAAGAAAATAAAAATAGCTGGAAGAAATTGGAAAAAACTGAAAGGAATAGGAAAAAACTAGAATGAACTGGAAGAACTGGAAGAAACATGAAGGATTTGGAAAAAACTAGAAGTTAAGAGTTTAACTTTAAAGAACAAGCTCTTAGTCAAAAGTGGAACTCTTTTCAAAAATAGAGGGAGTACATATTTAAAAACAATATCAAAAGTACAGCAGAATAAGTGGTGACAAGAAAATTTTATTTTATCATATATGCCATGAAAAATACAAATAAATAAAAGTTCCTGTGAAGTTGAAATACTGTTCTAAGAAGAAAGATATGAGACGGAGGACATACTATTTTATTAATTAATTAGTACTTTTAATAATTCTATAAACGGAATTCATCTCAAATGAAATTTCTTTGATACTAACATATTTCCTTCATTCCATATTAATTGCGTATTATGACTTCTACTATATAGTATATAAAAGCTGAATGAAAAATTCTGCTCAATTTCATTCCAATTTTAGCCCCAAAAAATCCCAATTCAAGGGCTGTTAGTGTTTTGGTACACGTGGCACTATGGCAGTAATCCATGCAATCTCAATCCAGCAGCATTTACAATTACAAGTGGACAAATAATCATACATATCATTTGTAGTGAAAATACATTTCCTTTATAAGCTTAATAAATCCAAACAAATTTGGTGGTCCCAAAGTGGTGAGATACAAAGTCTAGAGGGGGGTGAATAGACTTTGTTACAAATTTAAAATTTTTTTCGTTTCTTGTGAAAATGAGTGTTAATCTAGAGTTCTTGTGAACTTTAGATTGTGTGCGGAATTTGGTGGGTAGAGTGAGCAGTAATCAATATGGATGAGTTAGTTTTCACAGTTAATATAATTGCTAGTAAGAGTAAAGATAAAAGAGAGAGACACGCAAACTTTAACGAGGTTCGAAGGTGGGGTAATCCTTCTACGTCCTCAAAATCCACTATGTAGTTGGTTGTTGAATAATGAACCAACAATTACACTTGTGTGAATTTCTGCACGGTATATCTTCGCAAGACCAATGTTGCTACTGCACTCGTGCTAGCTTTGTTGTTCCTTCGAAGGTCACGCTTCTTCAACAACTGCAAGATCCGAACAATAGGACTTGCAAGATCAACTTGTAAGAAAGTTGACCAACCCCCTTTTTAATCAAGAAGTTTGATCAAAAAGTTGTATCCTTCAACGTGGTGTGGTACTTGAGGCAAGGAAACCTTCAAGTGTTTACACTATAGCTCTTTGGAAGGAGGAGGAGTTTGCTTCTGGATAAGGAGTTTAGAAATCTCTCTTTATCAAGCTTTTTGGGCTAACTGTGAATGAGATAGCTT